TTTTTTTTTTTTTTTTTTTTTTTTTTTTTTTCAATTTTCTTGAGAGCTCACACAGGTAATTAGAACGGAGCAGTTCTTTTCTTTTTTCGTTCGTTTTCTGCGAAACGATTGTTGTATAATTTCACAAAACGATGGCACGAAACGTAATTTTACAAATTCTTTAAAGATCATTTGATTCTGAACCACTATCGTTCAACATGCCCAATATTTAATTTCAATTTATTTTGTACGACTGCGTCTGTCTCTGACCATTTGAAACAGAAGCATGATTTCTCTAGTCTAAAGTCTGTTATTTATGCGCAGATCTTGCTCCTCGTCAACACAACAATTATTAACAAAGAAACACGATTTCTTGGCGCAACGACGTAAGAAATTATGCAATTATGATGTCGCAGAATGACAAAGTTCGAAAACACTTTATCGACTCGATTAGCAATTTAATTAAGTTAATCACGTTTGATCGTATTATGATCTAAACCGACAACGTTACTTCACCAGTTCTCATAAATCTCCAATCAAAATTCTTATGCAGACAAGTTGATTTAATCTAAGAAAATGTCTTTATTTTTCTAAAAAAAATCTTTTCTTGTATTTATTATAATTCTCATAAATAATCTCAACTTACTGATTCGTAGCGATCGATCAATTAATACATTCCTTCGTTCGCAAATTGCATCAACGTTTCGTAGATATTGAATATTTCATATTGAACGTGTGCCAATGCTTATGAATGAGAGCTGCATCGATTTTACGCCAACGTTCCGCGTACACGACAAAATAACTGGAATTAATCTATCTCTTTTTATTCCATTTATCCCGAAATAAGTTCTCTTTGTGTACGAGATAACTTTCTCCCTGCCTCTCGCTCGTTCGCGCGCGAGAGAAGACGTTCTCTCCGCGGAGAATTAATGCCAGGATTATCCTATCTCGCTTAACGTTCGTTTCGCGCGAAACAATTGCGCCCGGTTAAATTACACGGGACAAAATCGCGAGGAAATTTAAATCCCAGAGCGGGGTGATGATATTCTTTTCTCTGCCTGCTGGATCTTCGGATTACCTCGAGCAACATCGTGATACCGGGTCGCGCTAATTAAAACCTCATTTCGCCTGGAAACATTCAGCTCTTCCAATCTTCTCGAAACCCACCCCTCCCGAAGGGAGAGAAAAAGAAATAAAAAAGAAAAACCTAGGTCGACGTGTAGTTTCTTCTTGCTGCCGTCGCCGTCGTGGTTGGTTCACCATTCTACAATTTCCAGCAGGGAAACTTTTCATCCGCAATTTTTCTATATCAAGCCCTGAGCGAGCGTCAAAGGGGGGAAAAAACATTTTCTTCTTCGCGGCCGTTTTCAACGTTCTAAAAGGGCTTGGCTCGTGATGGTCGGAAGGGGAAAAGCGCGTTGCAATTACATAATTCACCGTCGCATCAGGATCTTGATAAGATATAAAGCACGATTACACGCCGGCTGCCGCATAAGTTCACGCTGCCAGATATTACTTTCCACCGTGTAGTACTCTGCTCTTTGAACTTCTCCCTTCCGGTTACATGTATATAGGTATACGTGTACAGGCCGTTTCAGTGACCAGTTTGTATGTACAATCGGCAAGAACAGACCGATTCCATCCGACATCAGAATTTTTCCTCTACGCGGGAAATATATTTTTTCATTTGGCATTTTTAAAATCTGTCTCGTACGACTACAGGAGAAGATATGATAAGACGGTTTTTTATGCATTTACGGAGAATTTAAAAGTGTCAGAATGCACAGAATATGCAGAACAGACAAGAAAAAAAAAAAGAGAAAAAATATTTGTATAAATTTTGTTCCTTTAGTTATATTCGTAAAAATATGAATTTACATAAAACATTTTAATGATAAATCTATCTATTAGATTTCGAGACTACTCAGTTTCAGGCTAGAAAGGATAAATAATTGAGAAGGAAATTTGTTGAATTTAAAAAAATATGACTAGATTGTGGATCTTTATGGAAAGAAAATCGGTCAACTTAAAGACAATTTAAATGGAGATTCGTTTTATCATTCACTTTGGATATATTTATGTATTCTGCGCATTTTTAGTTAATAAGACACCCTGTATATACACGATGTCGATTTCCAGTTAAATTGTGGTTTTCCACATAGTTGAAAGTTTAACCGGAGTCACAATACCTCCGCCGGCTGGATCGATTAGAATTTTCCCAGTATCTCCTTTGCCACGGGACCCTCTTTCTCGATATCGGGACAGAAATTGTCTAAATGGCTCTGGCTCTGGGCAATAATGTTCCTTTACTAGGCGTTTTACCTTTTCTAGCGGAAATATAACCGCTGAATGAATTGATATCTATTGGAAGCCTCTGTTACACGAGTTGTGTGAATAATTATACGTAACTGTATATTACTTAACGTTCTAAAATAATAATTTTAAGAATTTTCCTTAAGAAATTCTTTGCATTCCATAATTATTCGAAAATTGAGGAATTTAGAAGAAATTGATTTATTTCTCCGATACAAAATTATGTTTGAAAGAGAAAATTGATCTGATACTCGATATTTCTTCGTAAACGTAATGTTTGGAGATGACATAGAAATTATAACATCGATTCGATGTAAAAATATTTAACACAGAAATTTGACTCACAGGATTATATAATAGCGATCGCAGCCAATCAGCTCGTATTAATTGTTGTACAATTCATAACTGTATCACGTGCACTGATGCAATTAGTAACTGTATGTCAAATAATACGATTGCCCAGGTCTCACCGCGTGGAGGTGCTGCGAATGGAGACCCGCCCTATCCACGATCCCATCCACCCTCCTTTTAAGCAAACAAAAAAGTTACTAATTTCATATGAAAATACATACTTGAACAATCCCTCCTTCTGGCATTTGTTTGCAAAACGTTCAACTCTTTGATCATTATGCAAAAAATAGCAGAAGGAGCTTTAGCTAAAACGCGAGAAGCCTAGAGCTGAAAGTAAAAGTTGAATTAAATCTTAAACTACGATTATAAGTCTGTATGAGGCAATATTTCATATCTGTATCAATAATTCAAATCATCGCCATGAGAATGTAGAATAATTGATATTTAAACAAAAATAAGAAATACGCCCCACAAAGTTATAAAATTATACTAATCTACTTTACACTACTCTTATCTACTTAAATATGATCCATAATAAAGCATACATTTAGTTACTACAATACTTTATTTAACTTTTACTACTATTAAGCATAAGCGCTACTTATTAAGCACAAATCGCAATGTTTTCTATTAAAATCCTACTAATTAATCCTAAATATATAATTATAATAAAGAAATACTGATGATGTAGTGGGAAATATTGATGAAGTTAATCTATCCTTCCAATTTCTAAATATTAGTTTGACAGTTTCACTGATCTTCATTTTTTTTTTTTTATTTCACTGTATTGTAAATCCAAAGAGCTCTTTGTAATCCTATCTACAAAAATCTGAAGTTCCCTTGTAATATATAGCCATCAGGAATCTAAAACTTTCCCTTTAATAAATTTTATTCATATAAAGATTTATTTAGGGAAAAATAGCTTATATGAAAATCAAAGTAGAACAAAAGGAAGGAATGGAATATCACATGATGTGAGATTCCTATCTAAATCTTAGATATAGAAAGATCTATTGGATAAGCTTTCTATATAAAAACCTAAGTAGAATGAAGGAATAAGATATTATATTGGATGTGATATGGGAGATCTTCTATATAAAAATGGAAAGCTTTCTAAGTAGAATGAAGAATAGAATATTATATTGGAATGGAATATTATATAATGAATTATATAATGAAGGAATGGAATATTATATTGGATGTTATATGAGATATCTTCTTCTGTCGGTGTCGCAATGGTTTCTGAAACAAACTTAAAGTATAAAAAAATTTAATAAAATTCTGCAAGATATTACTTAATTGCTAATTACCAGTAAGGAGGATTCTCAGATTTCCTCATACTTATATCAATATAATCATTTTTCTTTATTCCATTTCCGAGCTATTACTTTCATATTCATAAGTTTATATATTTAAAATTTCCCATAAATTAATCTGCAATAAACTTATTTATTGGATTAGGATTACAAAAAATTGATAGTTGAAAGGACAAGACATTAAACAAACGAAAATGTCAAACTATCAAAACAGTCTATCATAAATGAAAAAAATAAATTCTAATAATGGACATTCATTGATATTCAATCTAAAAAATGAATTAACTAAATTCATATTCATTTATGTGAATATGAATATCAATACAAAATTATAACAGTTATAAATAATATTATGGCAATTAGAAAATATTATTATTGAGAAATAAATATACTTTTAGCAACTTATTTCCAATAACAAACACTCTGGCAGCAAGGGACGCTGAAAAAGAAAGAAAATAGTGAGTAGCCAGAAGGGCTACCAAAATATAATCAATATCCACTCAATATATACCCGAACATAAACCGACAGTGGAATATCTTTTCAATTTCGCAACACTAATTTATTGAAATCAGAGACAGGGTAGAACATTCTAGAAAGAAATCGCGAGGAGTGCTTTATATGTTTGTAATAATAATTACTTTACTCTTGAAAAGAATTAAAAAAATACAGACCTCCCGAAAATATAGCAGGACATTTTATTTTCGCAACGCTAATAAATATTACTTTATGCACTCACGTTAAAATATTCGCAACACTAATTACTACGGGAATCCAGTGCAGATGTAATGAAGGCTGCTGACAACCACTTTCGTGCAGCTGTTTTAACTGCATCAAGTGATTTAAAAACGTACTTCCACAACCTTAGTGGAAAGAGTTTGGGCACTTTATTAACGCAACACTATTTAAAGAAACGCGACATTTGTTACCAGCGCAACACTAAAAAAATAATTGAAACAAACACGACGAAAAGCATAACTAACTTTTAAAACGAAATCTACTTCAATTCAATTGCGAAAACAATTTCAATTTAAGAAATTCAATAAAGATTACTTCAATTATTCGCGATAGAGATAAATAGTAAAATTTAACAAATTTTTAATTTAGTTCTAAAGTTATTTTATAATAAAAGATGTTAGAAAGAACAGACGGGATATTTTACAATTTGCAACGTTAT